AAAAAAACCCCCCCNCCCCCCCCCCCCCGCGCGCTTCCCCCCTGTATGCTAAGCTGCTTGAGAGCTTGAGGTGTCCTACGGCTAGTCCTACCCCGGCGGAAAGACAATATTCACGAGGCAAGTGCACGAGGTCGGAATTTTTGCTGGTGTCACGGTGTGGCTCAATGCTACGTAGCCCTAGTGGCCACTCCCGTTGGGCTCAACGGGGGTGCCTAGGGGGGTAGCGCGGTACCGTGGGCGGGGATCGAACACCACGCACGGCAGTAGGGACTATCTTTCTAATTCAACTTCGGCAGGGTCCACCGTGCCTCCGGTCGTGCTGAGCACGGAGAGGAGCGCCGCCTCCGCGTACCCGCTCGAGGACCCGCGGAAGGGCGAGCTCGCAGAACCGGCGCAGAAGGCCGTCGCCGGCGACGCCGGCGGCGCCAAGGACTTCCTGTCGTTGGTCTTCGGCGACGCGGTCGCGTCGTGGGCCGCGCTCGTCGACCCCGTCGCCGCGGCCAACGGCCTCGTGTCCGCCGAGGGCCTCCGCCGCGCCGCGCTGCGCATCGCCGTCAAGCAGGACCACTCCGCGTCGATGACGGAGAGCTTCCAGCCCCCCCCCGATGCGCAGGAAGCCCTCGACGGTCGACTTCGCCCGCTACTTTGGCCCCGGCCGAGGCGTAGCGACGCGGTGGACTGTATCTTGGTCCCCTAAACCCACGGGTGGACGCCGGGATCGGACTCGTGGGAGAGTGGAGACACGTTTAGTGGCCCCCCCCAGTGCCCGCGTCCGCCCAAGGCGGGCGCGTAGGCGGGGTGCGTCGCCTAATGCGCTAGAGAGAGACACGAGTAAGCCAGCCATGTTCCGTACTTAAGTTTAGTGCCCCATGAAGCGCGGCACGACGATGAAGCCCGCGGCGGCGATGACGACGTAGATCGTGATGAGCCACGTGAAGTTGGCGCCCATGTGGCCGTTGCCGTAGTGGAAGTAGTCGAGCGTGTCCTCGGGCTTGTGGGAGCCGTGGCGGCCCTGGAAGCCCTGGGTGACGACGATCTCGTAGCAGTAGTGGAGCGGGTTGAGGTAGTAGAGCCACATCCAGTAGACCTTGATCTGGGGCCGCGTGAGCATCGTGCCGCCCGTGAGCGTGAGGAGCGTGATGATGGGCTCCGAGGTCTGGGCCGCGGCGACGGCGTCGGGCATGACGACGCCCGCGAGGCTCGCGAGGCTCGCGTAGGACGCGGCCGTGATCGCGATGGCGAGCGCCGCGTAGACGACGCGGCTGGGCTCGTTGAGCGGCAGCCCCATGAGCGGCCACCAGATGAAGGGCGTCACGAAGGCGACGCAGGCCGCGCTCACGGAGGCCAGCGTCATCCGCGACGCCCAGTACGCCGCCGCGCCGTAGGACCCGTTCTTGTACTCGCGGACGATGAGCGCCTTCTCGAAGGGGATGTTGAGCAGGAAGGCGTTGAAGGCGATCATGCAGGCGCCCATGACGCCGAAGCACATGCCCGTGGCCAGGTAGAGGTTCGTGCTGAAGTTGAGGTACACGAGGCCCGTGACGAGCGCCTGCATGAGCGACGGCATGACGTGCTCGACGGACTGGTCCTCGTCCTTGAGGTACGACAGCGTGCAGCGCTTGAGGAGGATCCAGTACTGCGTCGCCGCGGACGTGGGGTAGCGGCCGAAGACGGCGTCGTAGTCGCCGGCCCTCGACGCGGGCTCGGCGAACGCGTCGGCCGGGAGCGTCTCGGTCGCGCGGGCCTTGGCCGCGGCGCTGCGCCGCCAGAGGTCCGTCCAGACCGTGGCGCTCCCGTCCTGGAGCCGGTACATGGCGAAGTCGATGGGGTTCTCGTTGTCCGGGCACGGGTGGCCGCCGCCCGCGAAGAACGGCGCGAGCTGCGCGGGCTGCTCGCAGAACGCGAGGCGGCCCTGGACGAGGATCGTGAGCTGGTCGAAGCGCGAGATGAGCTCCCAGGTCGGCTGGTGGATCGTGCAGACCATGGTCCGCCCCGTGACCTTGGCCAGGGACATGACGACGTCCGCGATGCTCAGCGCCGCCGCGGCGTCGAGGCCCGTCGTCGGCTCGTCGAGGCACATGACGGAGCAGTTCGCCAGGAGGTCCATGCCGATGGACACGCGCTTCTTCTGGCCGCCGCTGATGCCCGGCTTCTCCGTGGACCCGACGACGACGTCGGCCTTGGCCTGGAGCCCGAGCTGCGCGATGACCTCGTCGGCGCGCGCGCGCTTCGCCTTGAGGCTCAGGTCCCGCTGGCAGCGCAGCTCCGCCGTGAAGTAGAGGATGTCGCGCACCGTGAGGTCCGCGAGGAGGATGTCCTCCTGGGGCGTCACGGTCGTGAAGTACTTGAAGTCGGCCTTGGGCAGCTCGCGGCCGTTGACCGTGACGACGCCCTCGACGAGGTCGTTCTCGAGCGTGCGGCCCGTGAGCACGTCGATGAGCGTCGTCTTGCCCGCGCCCGAGGGCCCCATGAGGGCCGTCGTCGTCTTCGCCTCGAAGCTCACGGAGACGTCGTGGAGCGTCGCCTTCTTGCCCGGCGAGCGGACGTCGCGCCAGAGCGTGATCGCGTGCGCGCGCACGGACGCCGGCGCGGCCGCGAGGGACGCGGCGCCGTAGGCGTCGCCGCGCCCCCCGCCGAGCAGGGGCTCCGACGCCTCGGCGGCGAGGTCCGCGACCTTGGCGCCGTCGAGGACCTTCCGCGGCGCCGGCGCGGGCCTCGCCGCGCCGCCGCCGCCGCCGTCCGGCCGGTTGAGCCGCGCGGTCGTGACGACGAAGCCCGCGGCGAAGAGGGCGCCGAAGAGGAGGAACATCATGGGGACGCACGAGTCGACGTTGCCCTCGCTGATGTCGAAGTAGACCGGCGACTCGAGGATGTCCCCGGCCTTGTCCGTCGTGTGCGCGAAGACCTGGACCATGAGGTACTTGACGGACCACGTGAGCAGGTTGACGTACTTGAGGGGCAGGAAGTAGTCCGGGAACTGGTTCTGGGGGATGAGCACCTGGCACGTGAGCATCTGGATGACGAGCGACGGCGGCACGATCTTGATCGCCGCGAGCGCGCTCGGCGACGAGATGCCGATGATCAGCCCCAGGAGCATGCAGCAGCTCATGAGGAGCGTCGTCATGAAGTAGAACTTGAAGGGGATCATCGCGTTCTTGAACGTGAACGACAGGCAGGGGTAGACGATGGCGCACGCGAGGAACGAGATGATGACGCCGTTGATGCACGCGAGCGTCGCGCGCGCGAGCCAGTACGGCGCCGTCGAGAAGACGCCGTTGCGGTAGTCGCGCAGGACCACGGCCCGCTCCAGGGGCATGACGACGCAGAGGGGCGTCGACGCCGCCTGGTAGATGAACATGACGAAGGTGATGATCGCGAGCTCGCGCGACACCGAGTCGTGGAGGCTGAAGTAGGCCGACGCGTACATGATGGTCGAGAAGACGGTCATGCCCCAGACCAGGGGGCCCTGCGACGGGTCGCAGACCCAGATGTGGACGCTCCGGAGCAGGAGGAGCCGGTACTGCGTCATGAACGAGATGGGGTAGTCGCGCGGGCCGTCGGGGTCGTCGCTCGTCAGGAAGCCCGTGACCTCGCTCGGCGGCCGCTTCTGCCCGAGGCGGCCCGCCTTCCACTTGGCGTGCCAGCCGTCCGTGTCGCCCCGGGCGAGGACGTACAGGGCGTGGTCCGCCGGGTTCTCCGACTCGGGGCACGGCGCGCCGCCGTCCGCGAAGAACGCGGGCAGGCCGGGCACGGGGCCGTCGTAGATCTGCTTGCCGCCCGCGCCGAGGAGCACGAGGGGGTCGAAGAGGCAGACGATGGACCACGACGGCTGGTGGATCGTGCAGATCACCGTGCGGCCCTGGTCCGTCGCCGCGTCGTGGAGGAGCTTGACGAGCGTCATCGCGCTCGGCGAGTCGAGGCCCGACGTCGGCTCGTCCATGAGCATGACGGGCCGGAACGACAGGAACTCGATGGCCGCGCTCAGGCGCCGCTTCTGGCCGCCGCTGATGGAGCCCTTGGTCGTGTGGTCCCCGACGATGCCGTTCTCGACGTGCTTGAGGTTGAGCTTCGAGAGGATGACGTCGACGCGCTCCGTCTTCGCCTCGCGGCTCCACTTCTCGGGGCACCGGAGGAAGCTGCTGTAGTAGAGCGTCTGCTTGACGGTCAGCGACGGATAGAGCACGTCCTCCTGGGGCATGTAGCTCATGAGCAGGCGGAGCTTCTTCGGCGTCGTCGGCGCGCCGTTCACGAGGACGCCGCCCTTGAGGATCTTCCCGCCCGCGCGGCCGCTGATGACGTTCATGAGGGTCGTCTTGCCCGCGCCCGAGGGGCCCATGAGGGCCGTCAGATGCCGCGGCTGGAAGACGACGGACACCTCCTCGAGGAGCACCTTCTCGCCGACGGCGTACTGCATGCCCGAGACCTCGAGCAAGGTCTCGGGGATGAGCCCCGCCTTCGCGGCCTCCTCGTAGGGCCGGAGCGGGTTCGCCGCGCCATGCTCGACGTCACCCATCGTGTGGTTTTGGGCGCGCGGCGGGTGTCCCGAGAGAGGCCGGCCCGAGTTTCGATGCGAGTGTGTTTCGATGCGAGTGTGTTTCGATGCGAGAGAGTGATGCCACGGCAAAAATCGACTTTCTCTCTAGATAGCGCATTAGGCGACCTACGCGCCCCGCCTACGCGCCTGCCTTGGGCGGACGCGGGCACTGGACTTTCCGGACGCTAAAATCGCTCCGGACGGCCCGTTTTGACCCTGCCGCGCGACGGCGCGCTCGACGCCTGGCGCGCGCGCGCGCGCGCGTCACCGAGAAGCCAACCTGAGCCGAGACTTATCCTCCTACCTACCATAGACCCCTCTTCATGAGGTAGCGGACTCCCGACACCCCCAGATTCCTGTCCCAAGGCAAGAAGCCAATTGCAATGTGGTCCTCCAGTCCAGTGTAGATGCCACCCAACTGGACGTCCACATGGTCGAGGACAATCTTTTGAAGTGATCCGTCGGGCGACACGACGGTGGGGGCGATCCAGGGCAGATGATTGCCTCGCGTGCGCGCTCGAAGAAGCGCGTCCTCCCAATGAGGATAAAACGGTATGATTTCTTCCACGAGATCGAACAAAAAAGGTGCAAATTGCCTAGCCCTCCAGTTTGAAAGGGAAGGACGTCGGACTTTGAATAGATACTCGTCGCCGCCAGCGGAAGCGCTCACCTGCGCGCGCGCCCACGCGTCAAGGGACGTATAGGACGGTGGGCCCGCGCCCATCGTCACCGTGGCCATTCGCTGGAGTCGGCTGCGTAGGGACCGTGTGCTCTCTGTCAAACCCAGCGTCCGACGTCCGACGATGGGACGTCGACTCTCGATAAAATTAAATTGTCCGCCGCTGAGGGCCCTCCCACCTCTCGCTCGCACCACTTGCAAATTCCGCTTTCGCATTGCCCTGGTAATCCCAAATCGCTCGTCGTTGAAAGAAGGATCGTGCGTGGCGCGTTTTCTCCGCGCCTTCTTCTTCGCCGCGATCTTCCGACGGGCCTTCATGATGAGCCGCTTGGTCCGCGCCATGGCGATCAGAGCGGCGCAGCGGGCGTCCAAGCACCTCGAGGCTGGCAGCTCTTTTGCCTCAACTCGCCGAGAATGCCGGAGCTGCAAACTTGGCGCATGGACGCGGCCGCGCTCGCGCAGAGCCTCCGGCCCGTGCTGCCCGTCGACGCGCAGCGCGATGGTGCGCCCCCCCCCCCTTTGCCGACACCCCTGCCCGCCATCGCACCGCGTCTCGACGTCGCGGCGCCGCTCGTCGTCGCGGCGGCGCCGCCCGTCGTCGCGTCGGCGCCGCTCGACGGGGCTCCGAATACGTGCGCCGGCGCCGCGGCCGGGGGCGAGTCCAGCGACGTCGTGCCCGAGCACCACGAGCGGCCCGTGGCGACCTTCGTGCGGACGCTCTTCAGCCTGCTCAACGGCCCCTACGAGGACACGCTCATCGCCTGGAACAACAACGGCGAGCGCATCGTCGTCGCGGACCCGTCGCGCTTCGCGGCCGAGGTCTGCCCCAAGTACTTCCGCCACAAGAACTGGAACTCGTTCGTGCGCATGCTGAACATGTACGATTTCCACAAGGTGCCCGCGGCGGGCCGCGACCGCGCGGTCTCCTTCGCGCACCCGCACTTCCGCCGCGGCGGCGGCGCGGACCTCTGGACCATCGTCCGCAAGGCCAAGGCCAAGGCCGACGGCGCCGCGGCGGCCGAGGCGCCGGCCGTCGCCGAGGCGCCGGCCGTCGCCGAGGAGCCCGCGGCGCCCATGGAGGACGACGCGCCGGCGGCCGCGGTCGCGTGGCAGACGCACTACGACGACGAGGGCACGCCCTACTACTACGACCCGGCGTCCGACAAGTTGTGGCTGACGTGCTACGACGTCGAGGGCACGCCCTACTACTGCGACCCGGCGTCCGGCGAGACGTCGTGGGCGCCGCCCGGGTCCCCGTCGCCCGACGCGGCGTTCGCCGAGGTGACGCGCGAGGCCGGCGAGCGCCGCGAAGAGGACGAGCGCACGTCCTCGTCGCCGCTGGACGACGCGCCCGCGCCCGCGCCCGCGTTCGCGCCGGCGCCCGCGGACCTGGGCCTCGAGCTCGACGACGAGCTCGACGTCG